ATCTAAAAAGTTAAACCCCAAAACCCCAAAACCCCTTTATTCTAGATTAGCATTTAATCTAAGAAATCAGAATTAAGTATTTAACTTTTTACTATAAGCTTAAATTAACTCAAGACAATATACAACGATATCATCTTAATTATACTATAAATAGAATTATCTATCACACTTGACTAGGATATAATACTACAGAAAAGCTGCCATTCATCTGGATAGAAATATTGTTAAGCTATATGCCTCATTATGAACTCCACTAATTTTAAATCAAATTGATGTATTCTTCATCATATTCATCATAATCTTAATCTCTAAAATCAGCTTATTGATTCTATCCCTACAACTAATTTTCTTAAGACTCATCACTATCATCTGAATCAGTATCTGTTTGCTCCTTATTGAGGTTATTAGCTGAATCTGAGTAATCTTCATCATCTGAAAATTCATTGTATACTATTTCATTTGAATCATCAAGTCTATCTTCTTCGTATAAAATACGCTGTTCTTCCTCAATAGATAGCCAATATTAATTTCCAATTTGATTTTGACTCTTTCCATCTTACTGATCGCTTAATTGTCTCTCATTATAGCTAGTCTCCCCCGAGTCAAGCTATCTTTAGCTTGATTAAGACTTGATTTCCTCATTTATATTACAATCTACATTAAAACTCTCCTAATCGTTGAAAAACTGCTCATCTAGTTCATCCTATGAAATATTAGTCTTTCCATTAGTACCCAACTACTTTCCTTGATACTAATAATTTTTTAAAGCCTCTGCAAAGCTCTAAGGTGTTTAAATCTCTCTCTATTTCAAAATATTCATCATTGCTTGCATTTTTCTGTAAATTTTCGTGAATTGGTTTATATTGAATTCATTAATTTCATTAAATTTAAGTTATGTTTCACCTTACGATCCGTCACAGATTATAATTATCAAATTAATCCTTAATTGTTCATTATTATTGCAATTTTAAAAGAAATAGTTATAATTATTACCTGTAACTAATAGCTTCACAATGAAAACATCTCTTTTATGTACTATGGGGTTTTGGGGTTTTGGGGTTTTGGGG